CCTCTCTGTAGTGCATACTGCACTCCAAGACTCTTTCAAGTGAGTCCCATCATCCTCCTCTCTCTCAGAGGAGTCTCCAAGGGAGTTTGGGGGTTTTGGTTATTCAGTTCTTACCCCCACAAACTCTGTCTCTGCTGCTGGCTCTTTTCTCTTTTCCTTGCAGGAGTTTCTCTCTGTGTTGCTGCATACTTGTTTGCTGCTTCTTTGGTTCTTATCTGCTTGGCTCTCTGCCACTGCTCTCGGACGCTGCTGTCCCTGCTGCTGCTCCGTCGCTGCTCCCAGCGTCTCCCACTGCTGCTTACCAGGGAGAAACTCCTTCAGCTTCTCAGACACAGGCACTTAGTCCAGTTCTACACCGTCCAAGTCCCCATAGCCCCCCAGCTGGGGGCTGGGGGGGGGGCAAAGCCCCAAGGGGCTCCGAGCCCCTTCCTCGTGGCCTCACCACAACATGGCCACTTTTTCTTCCACAACAAGTACCACTGCTTCTTTTCCGGTCCAGAGAGATATGTTTATATTTTGCAGGAGCACTGATTGGGTCAAACCCCAAGGGTCACCACCCCCTGGGGGTTACCACTTTCTTAGTTTCAGGGGGAAAACCTGGCTCAAACCACTACAAAGGGGTGGACTGTTAGATGTATAAGAAAGTGGGTGGATGGTTGCATTCAGAGGGTAGTGGTCAATGGCTCAGAGTCCCGACGGACATCAGTGACAAGTCCCATCAGTGATGTCCCTCAGGCATCCTTATGGGAACCACTGTTATTTAATATCTTCATTAATGACATAGATGAATGGTTTGAGTGCACCCTTGGCAAACCTGCAGATGACACAAAGGTGAGTGTTGTGGTTGCCGCACCTGAAGGACAGAATGCCATCCAGAGGGACCTGGACAAGTTCGAGAAGTGGGCCCATGGGAATCTCACAAGGTTTAACAAGACCAAGTACAAAGTGCTGCACCTGGGCCAGGGCAACCCCCAGTACCAACACAGGCTGGGGCATGAATGGATTGAGAGCAGCCCTGCCTAGAAGGACTTGAAGGTGCTGGTGGTTGAGAGGCTGGACATGACCCAGCAATGTGCACTTGCAGCCCAGAAAGCCAATTGTATCCTGGGCTGCATCCAAAGCAGTGGAGACAGCACGTCCAGGGAGGTGATTCTGCCCTACTATTCCAGTCTTGTGAGAATCCGCCTGCAGTGCTGCATCCATGTCTGGGGTCCCAAGCACAGGAAGGATACTGAGGTGTTGGAACAAGTCCAGAGGAGGGTCATTAAGTTGATTAGAGGGATGGAGGACCTCTGCTATGAGGAAAGACTGAGAGAATTGGGATTGTTCAGGCTGGAGAAAAGAAGGCTTAGGGGTGTCCTAATTGCAGCCTTCCAATACCTGAAGGAGGCCTACAAGAAAGATGGAGAGGGACTTTCTACAAGGACGTGTAGTGACAGGACAAGGAGGAACGGCTTTAATCTGAAAGAGGGTAGGTTTACATTAGATATTGAGAGAAAATTCTTTACTGTGAGGGTGGTGAGACATTGCAACAGGTTGCCCAAAGAAGTTGTGGATGCCTCATCCCTGGAAATGTTCAAGGCCAGGATAGATAAAGCCTTGAGCAACCTGGTCTAGTGGAAGGTGTCCCTGCCCACGGCAGCGGGGGTGGAACTAGATGATCTTTAAGGTCCCTTTTAACCCAGGCTATTCTATGATTCTATGAAAAGCAGATTTGCCTGGTTTTTGACGGTTTGGGGCTGAATCCTCTGACATTATACATTAAATACCGCTGCAAGTATATGATCCACTAGTCAACTCTGTCAAATAAAAAAATCTGCTCTCGCTTTTTAAAATGTTTTCCTGCTACTACTAAATCCCCTGTCAGCACTGCTTTCTGCTGTTGTTGCAACAGCTGACGGCCTACTTGTTGCTAAGGCCATTATGCTCACTCTGACAAATAACAAAACTGGAGAGAACAAGAGTCTCCACCATTTTTAGGGTTTTCTGGTTAGCTTTCATCTATGTAGTCCTAAAGGGGCTGTTCGTCTGCAATTTCATTGTTCATTGCACTCCATGCAAACAGTGGCCTTGGCATGGTGCCTACCATGGAGGGCTGCAAGGCTGCTGCAGGAATGGCAGACGGAGGCACTGACAGCACCAAGGGACATGCAGACACCTGGTCCCAGCCCTTGTGTGAGCAGACTGGCCTTGGCAAGGGCCACTTTCCCCACAGTCCCCTCCACTAGGTTAGAGGGCCCAATGGGCAATCCCTTAGCTCACAGCAGGTATCCAAACCCCTTGGTTGACTTCATGGAGGCCCAAAAAGGGGCTAAACCCTTGTGCCCTTGTGGCCAAGAAGGCCAATGGTATCCTGGGATGCATTAAGAAGAGCATTGCCAGCAGGCTGAGGGAGGTGATCCTGCCCCTCTGCTCAACCCCTAAGGCCCCATCTGGACAGCTGTGCCCAGTTCTGGGCTCCTCAGGACAAGACAGACATGGAGCTCCTGGAGTGGGTCCAGAGGAGTGTGACAAAGAAGCTTAAGGTATTGGAGCATCTCTCTTATGAGAAAAGGCTGAGAGAGGTGGGTCTGTTCAGCCTTGAGAGGAGATAGGAGAGGGGACCTCATCAATGTCTGTAAGTGGCTGAAGGGAGGGTGTCAAGAGTCTGCTCGGTGGTGCCAAGCAATAGGACAAGAGGCAACGGGAAAAACCCGATGCACAGGAAGTTCCACTTGAATACAAGGAGGAACTTCTTTACTGTGCGGGTAACAATCACTGGAACAGATTGCCCAGAAAGGTTGTGGAGTCTCCCTCACATTCAACAACCATCTCGATGCAATCCTGCTCTAGGATGACCCTGCTTGAGCAGGAGGTTGGACTAGATGACCCGCTGGGCTCTCTTCCAACCTGACCCACTCTGTGAGTCTGTGAAACTCGAGCAACCCAAAACCCCGGGCCCGGGAACCCCCCCGCCCCTCGCGGACCCCCCGCCCCTCGCGGACCCCCCGCCCC